GAGAGGTAGGAGGTCCGGTACTTTTCAAGCCATATTTCTCCTCTGGTATGTACCTTGTATCACCACGTGGATCTGAAAAGCCATCCGATTGGCTAAACAATCTGAACAGCTTTTTGCAGCTTTCAGTCCACGAGCAACCTAAGAGCCGACTTGGCCAATTGCTGTGAAAGGTTGCACTTACAGTGCGTTCTCCCTGTACTCTGAATTGTACTTTGTCCCCAGCTGATGCACCCTTTCTGCAACAATCTCTGCTAATGCAAACAGTCACTGCTTCCACAATTATGCTCGTAACCGGATGTTCAAGAAGACGTCTGCTGCTATGCAGTTATCTACGTTTCGGCGCAGCTCATTCGGCGGGTGATTCGGCAGAAAGAGAAGGTGAGCTTTTTTCGCTTCATCATCAATTCCGATTGACTGAAGTCTGTCGTAGGCTCCAGGTTTGTGATTTGGGTTCAATCATTTTCTTGTCTGCGATACAGGTTGGTATCGACCGCCCCTTTTCCGCTTAATCTTGAAAGCTGTGAGTGTCCTTGAGAGGAACTGATAGGATTTCATAATTTTCGCATCGCGTTGCCCTGCTTGTGATCTGACAACTCCCAGCGGTTTGGATGGCTTGTAAACGCTGCTGATCACTGCGAGTCATCCTATGTAATCAAGTATATGCTGAGAACGACGCTTTGCTCAGACTCCGTCTTTCAGGGATCTGGATTTCTATTTTGCCTTTCCCCTTATCACGTTTCCATGGATCTGGCTACTTTGACCAGACCTGTAATTGAACCGGCAGCACTATTGGGTGGGTCGTTATCTGAGCGTAGCGGCTCAGAAATTGTTTAGACTGAACTTGTTGAAGGAGGTTTCGCATGACACGAATCGCGAGGGTCCGTTGATCTCAACGTAGTGCAGCTGAGACCCGATCGATAAATCCATGTTCTTCTGGATCACATCTTAAGAGTATTTGCTGGAAGCTGCAGACCAAGAATATCAACGATGCTAGAGCGCACTCCAATTCCTCCCTCGCATAGAAGAAATTGCTTGGATTTGAGTAGAATATCTGAGCGCTGTCCTATTAAATATTCTCACTCTTGTTACGCTCCTGGCAGGAACTGCAAGAACAGGAGAAAGCCGAGCTGCAGGCAAAGCTGGACGCTCTGTACTCTTCGAACGGTCCGAACAAAGCCGCAAACGGTTTGAATCTAGCTGCGGACGGTTCGAACCAGGCCGTGGACGGTCCAGATCGAATTTCGGACGGTTCGAAGCAAGTTGCGGACGGTTCGGAGCAGTCAAAGAGCGTCCGGAGCAGAAGTCAGCGACATGTGGCGGAGCGCGCCGACCGCAAGCTTGAGCGCGCGCGGGCATACCTGGACGAAAGCCAGATTGCGGCGCTGGAAAGGTTGTCCGAAAAACGAGGGGCTTTGAGTAGTCGAGACGGAGAGAGGCAGCCAGGGGAGGCAAAGAACGAGAGAGGGGAGAAAGTTGTGCGGGTTGCTGAAAGCGGGCCGTCCTCCGAAGTCGGTCCCTCTCGGCAAGTGACGGAGAAACGAGGTCCGGAATCCGCTGAAGAGCGCACCGGAAAGGAGGCCGGGAGTACTCAAGCGGTGCGCAAAGAAGGACTAGACGGGTCGGGTAACGGCGGTGCGTCACAAGCGGAACTAGTGTGGCTTCGAGCCAAGGTCGCGGAGTTGGAGCGGGGTTTGAAGGGTTTGGAAGACAGTGTGCGACAGAGGGAGGGCGAAGGCGGACGGATTGTGCCAGGGGCGGCTCTGGACGGAACAAGAGACGGGAGGGAGATTGCAGCTTCAAGCCGGAATGAGAATGATTGTAAAGCGGGGCCAGAAGAGTCGTTGGGACAACGGGGTCTTGCTGAGGGGAACATCAAGCACGCAGGTCAAACGAAAGGAAGTGCTGACAATGTTGACGTAAACGTTCCGATCCGGAAACCGTCCTTGTTTGATAACGTCTGGCCGCAGTGGTTGCGAAGTACTGCAAAGAGAGACGAGGCTAAGAGCCAATCTGATACAACAGTGCCCTCGGTTTTGAAAAAAGATGAAGGTCCACCATGAAGTTGGCAGCCTGCGCTTTACCGGGCATATCTGGTGAGTGTCGTTGTGTAACGGCTAGCGGATGGAGTGCGTCAACTGGGCTTCCGATGTTCACCAACAGCGCCGCTGTCTGCATGCAATCGTAATGCCATGCTCTTCTCGGAATGCAAGACGTTCATGCCAGAGGTCACGGCAACGAGTTTTTGGACAGGATCATCCGATTTGACAATTTACGTGAATAGAGAGAACGAAATCCCGCATGTGTGCTGCAATTGGTCTGCATGGCGATCCGGTGAGCCCGCTTGCAACGGTGTTCATATGTACGATAATGCTTCAGCATATTTTTGAATGCATGGTATGTGTGGCATACTAAGTACCGTTGGGCGATGATTGCATGCGCACCGATTTTGCAGCATACTGTCTTTGTCCAGAGTTTTGATATTCATACCGATTCGTTTCAAAGCGACGTTCCGGCGGTCTCACACAAACTCCTCGATTTTCTCACGATCGTTGGATCGATGGATTTTGTATGCTTCACGAACTCAAAGATTTGAGGTATGAAAGTCCAATGGTTGACGCCATAGCCTTCAGGATTTCCGTATAAGCCTCTTGATAAAAGCCAGAAGCACGGCATCTGACGCTTACAGCACCTTGGAATTCCATGGAGCTAGTGAGCTAGAATGTCGCTTCCACAGATGGGCGCAGGACGTGCACGTCCGGCTACTGAGTTGCAGGCTGCGTAGGCCATCATCAAATTATCATCCGAAGTATCATGTTCAAGATTTTTCATCATCTTGAATTGAAAGATATTGATTCCAACGGGATTTGGAACCCTTACACACAGCTTCTTTGAAGAATGGTAACCTCAATTTACTTGTTCATGGAAGCATCGCATTTGTATGTGTTTTGACTCCAGGTCTTGTACGAGAACACTAAGCAGGTGCAAGTTGGTCATGAAGTATCACAGTCGCTATTTCAAGACAATTCTGTTTACACGTCCCTGCCAGACAGGCCACGCCTCTATCAGGGATAGACCGAACGATGCTCTAGAGAGAGTGGTTGTTGATTGGAAAACATTTTCTACACGAGCACGAAGTGAGGAAGTTTTTGCTGTCACTTGCGGATGGAGCATGTAATGTTACACGTCGATCAAAGCGCAACCTTGATGGTCGACATTGAAAGGTCTATTAAAGCACACCGAACAATTACGGGAAGTGCACGGTATCTCGGGCTGTCCGAGGCGCCGGTTCTAGTCGCCGTAAACTTGAGGGTTGTTTCCTACGGGCCACGACTTGTTGTTGATGCGAAACGCGGGGAAATCAATCTGTGCGTCGGGTTGCTGCGAAAGGGATGATTTAAGTCGGCAGTCAGCTCAAGCAAGTCCGGAAGGACTTTGAACGTCAAACCCGGAACACTCTCGCACACATGATGGCAGTAAGCAGATCGAAAGGCATAAGAAAGTGTAACCAAACCAGGGTTGGCATTTTTTGAATAACAGAGCGAAGTAGCGGGCGAAGCTGCGCTGTTGAAGGACATCATTCAGCATAGTAGAAGCGTAACTCTCGCTTGTCGAAGGCTGTACAGAAAAGGAATGTATGAGATCCAACTTTCTTATTTTCGTTTTGCAACGGCCAAGTAAAACCTAATCTCGCAAATGAAGTAGCGTAAGAAATTTCATTCCTGTTGGCCTGTGCTCATCAGCTACGAAGACCGCGGGAAGAGAGATAGAACCAACGTGCCCAAACAAGGTCTCCTCTACTGATTCTGCGAGTGTGAGACGCACGATGAGATGGGAATCCCTCGAACGCTGAACGGAACCGAAGGACTATGGCTCAATCCAGGAAGATCACCCCTCAAGAAACTCACCTCAGAGTAGCCCTCGCAGGTCAAGTCGAGCACCTTCCAGTCGCCGAGCCACTCACGCACCGTGGGCTGGCCGTCGATGCGGTTACAGTTGGAGTAGCCCTTGCAGGTGTTCTTACTGGGGTCGTACACCCAGAAGAGGCAGCACGCGGACTTACTGTACAAAGCCGGACATCTTGGAGTCACAACCAGGTTAGGGCAACGTTGTTTGATACCTCAGTTTGATGGAAAGGTCTCAAGCGAGCCAACTCGGTCCAAAAAGGCCTCCAAGTCTTTCATATTGCAGGGTCTTATTCATCCTTGGACCTGGTATGCCACAGTTATCAGCATCGAGCTGACTAGCACACAATCGCTCCTCGAAACTTCAAACGAAAGTGAAAGTGCTCGAAAGACGTCTCTAACGAGTTCCTGGCAATCGCGAGAGGATTCGTTACTATGTTGCTTCTAAGCTGCGACCCTCAGCATCATTCGCTCTTTGAAGGTCTGAAAAATTTGGAACGAAGTCGCAATGAGCGGACCTTTGATTGACTCCGCGGGCTTCAGTCTTCAAACTAAGCCTCTCGAAAGGAAGCAGAACGCAAATATGTGGATGATCAGGTTCTAAGGCTCCCTGAAATAATTGTCCACAAGGATTCCGCTGAAACCGCACAATGAGAAAAAGACGAGGATGCTTGAGTGAGGGCCTCACACGCAAGCTCCGCAGCAGGCCTTGTGGTCGGTCCCGTTCTTCAACGTCACGGAGAAGACTTGGTTCGAGTCTTCCCCGCAGCCTTGACCGTTCCAGTAAGCCCTGTGCAAGGAAGAGAGAAACGAGCGTCTTATTGTCGCTCCGGCCAACACTCAACTTTCCTCCGTCCGTTGAGATTGTCAGACATCGACGAATGAGCTTGAGAGGCGGGAAGTGCATAATTACGAATATTATGACAGCAATGAATATAAGGCTTTGAGTGGACAAGACGACAGCAGCCAGCAACTCATCTTTCATGGCCACAGTAAGGAGGTGCTGACCTACATCTCTGAGCTAAGGCAGAAAGGTACGATGATCATTCCTCCTCATGTCAGACGCGCAAGATTATCGACTCACCCATAGGCGTTGCAGCCGGCACACTCTTCGGTGCAGGCCTGAACTGCCACTGCAGCCGTAATGAACAGGAGCAGAAACGCGAAGAGCTGCCAAAAGTGGATGCTGACAGCTCAGTATACCGAAGGCAGAGACAAAATATTTGCTTCAAATAGCAGAAGAATAGATTCTGCTCAACTGCATGCACCAAAACAACAAATGACAGAGGGATTGAGAGGACAATTTCAGTCATAGACTGGAAGGAAATCAGCTGATTGCTCAACACAGTAGAGTTGCAGCCATGACCGAGGACATATACAAACCAACGAGGCACGATACTCTCGTTAAAATGACGTCAACTTCGAAACCACTGCTTCCCTTCAAAATGATCCATCAATAATAATCTTGCTAAGTACTCCGAACTTTATCGAGCAGCTCTGGAATATGGTACCTGAAAGACGACCCTAGGAAAAGGACACTACTGTTATAGCCAGAGCATGTTGTGAACAGACAAAAGAGTTTTGCGGACAGAGCATTCTGAAGAGCTGCTATCAAGAACGAAAAAGCAAGAAGACATGGAAATCATGCGCATGCTGCTGGCAAGACTTTCTATCTTATCACCTTCAATTCCCGGCCCCTTCTGATACCTCTTAGGTCCCACAAGAAAGCAGGATTTTCTCTGGCGTAGAAGCTCACCTTTCCCGCAGAAACCGCCATTGGCGCACCGGCGCCTTGGGTAGCGTGTCAAGCTAGAGGCTGCTTTCCGCCAGAGCCGTTCCAGGCGGAGACTTCCAGCACCGCTTGAGAAGGAGTCTGGAAGATTCAGCGAGAATGAAAAGACTGGCCAAAGCTGAGACGGCTATATACAGCTTCAAGATGAGCCTATTGCAGGGCGCACTGGAGGGAGATTGAGCCGTCCTACTTGTAGGGACTCATGTGTCTTAATACCCTTGCTGCTTGCCACGATCGAGGAGTCTAGTCAGCAGGAAGCCCCAGTACAGGAGGTAGGATTCCATCCGTGCTTGCGGTTGAGGTGACCTTTCCAATCTCAATAGGCTTCCAACTTGAAGTCACCTTTTGCCTTTCAATCTTTTGATGACGACATGCATTGCTATGTATTTCAGATAGTAAGCGTCTTTCATTCGATCAGCCGGTGCTGACGAAGCAACACTCAGTGACTCGTATGTATCTTATTGAGTTGCTGTAGCGTTGGATAGCAGAAAGATCCTTCTTTGGCGAGGAGCGCAGCTATATCTCAGCTATACTTCAGTAGTACACGCGTTCATGACGAGGTACATGCGCAGGGAGTTCGAGGGACGAAAAGAGGTCCGTCAGAATACTTGCCTTCATATAATGGACTCCGCGGAAGTGAAAATCGATCTTAGGGAGCAAGATATTAGTAGTACTGCATATTCAGTTGTTGAGGAAGCAAGGAAGTTATTCTGTCCCTTTCTTTTCTATCGTCGCCTGCAAGAATCTATCACAACCTTCGAACGTCTTCACTTACGTAGGTCATACCTATCCTTGCATTTGAACTGCTTACAGTTAACCCATGCCAGATACTTCAAGCCCAGCTTACGCCTATATGCCACTCATATTCAAATGCCCCGAGGCTCGTATAATGCAATACTATCATGAGGAAAAAATGCTCTCTTTCTCGGATCATTCGATACTGTAGTCCTGGCTTCGGCTTGACCTTAAACTTGAGGAGGAAGTCTTAAGAAGAGGCGTACGACTGAGCGCAGTAAGATTTGAGAGTAACTACTCTGTGCTTCTCGCCAATGGATCTGCTCGTCTGCTCAGCTTGTCTTTTGCCTGAAGGATGACGTGATCCAAAAATGCAAGGGCGACATTGGATGTCACCGACCTCTCAGGACTTCTCGCACCGGCAGCAGTACAGCTAGTCAGGGAAGCCTATCAATACTCAAGCTGCGCGCGCTTACGTCGCGCGCGCACCGGCTTCTTGAGCGTCTCTTTGCAACCCGTTCCGTCAGGTCGGGACCGAGCACGCTTTGCGCGCCCCGGTACCGCGCGGCGTTCAGCTCTGCGGCCGCGACGCGTCACTTGGGCGCGGGTCCGTCTCATTCTTGTGCGGCCAAAAGAGTCAATCTCGGGAATACATGCTTCCCCTTCAACATCATCATGGATAAACAAGTCAGAATCCGAAGTTTGCTAACCGGAAGCTGGATAGTCTATCCCTCAAGGAGTGTCTATGAGGAATCCATCTTCTCTTCCCCGCAAGCCATTGGAGCTTTGAGTTGTATGAGAACAAATCGTGTGCGACCAGGTCAGGAAACGCAAATCGTACTTCAAAAAGTGTCTTAGTTCGTGATCCTATCGGTCTGGCGTATCAGCTACTGAATCGCAGGAAACAAAGTAAAGGTCAAGTCAAAGCCCGGTCTCTAGCTTGTACGATGTCAGATGGTATGTGATCGGCTAAAAAGTGGTCAAAGAGTGGGTTGCTAGCTCCGTCTGTCCTGGCAAGTGGATTACTTCGTACGCCAATCACTCTAAAAGCGACGAAACTCCTGACATCAAGCTAGTCCCTAATTTAGACTTGGCCGCTTCAAGAGTACTGTCTATCTGGTGCCGTTGACCTGGGGGTTTTCGCCAACCGTGTAGTTTTTGCCACGGCTTTCGTTGAAGAAGCCAGGGAAGCCAATCTGAGCGTCCGGGAACTGCCAAGAAAGAGAAAGACGTCAGTCTGACGTACAGTCCCTTCGTGTAGCCGGCAAACGATTATTATGACACCTCCAGATGCGGAGCCACGTCAACAGACGACGGTGTTAGTACCGCAAACATGACTCAAGTCAATTGCGGACGTCGTGACCTCAGGAACTCTAAAGCTTCACAATTTGCAAGATGATCACACCCCATGCCTGAGCGCCTGAGCACTCGCTTACGTCAATGTAAAATCGAATGGGACTTCTACACGACGCTGAAAATGGCTTACTCGGGAGTATCCCTTGCAGGTAGCGCTGATGTTCTTCCAGTCGCCGAACCACTCGCGGACCGTGGGCTGGTTGTCCAGGCGGTTACAGTTGGTGTAGCCCGAGCAATCCTTGGTCACAGGGTTGTACACCCAGAAGAGGCAGCACGGGTCGTCCCTGCAGAAGCGCGGAAGAAGAAGAAACAATAAAACGGCCGGTCGCCTTTCTTAAAGGTTATTCGAGATCCCTGGCCTCAAAGCGCAGAACGGATGCGAGAAGGAAAAGCGGGAAAGTTCTCCGGAGGCTACAGCCAGGGCTTCGCGAAAATGCGTATTAAGGTTCCAAGCTCGAGAAGATCATAAATTTCAATCCTGTGGGACTACCTTTGAAGCGCTCAGGAAAGCCTTGCGAACCTGGGACGCTCGACAAGGATGCGTTCTGAACGCGTCAATAGAAAAGCGCAAATCTGAACTCTGGAAGCGCATTCCTGAAAGTACCTCAGAGTCTGCTTGCATAGCAAAGAATCGAATGATTTGAAGAAAGATTGCGTTCTCCACTCACGCGCATGTGTCACAGCAGGTCGTGGAGTTGCTGTCCCGGGGCATGGTATCCTTGAACACCATGTTGGACCCCTTGCCGCAGCCTTGGCCGTTCCAGTAAGGCCTGCAAACACCGAGGAGGACAAGCATTACTTGTGTCCTTCGTTTCTGATGGTTTGGACCTCAGTCTTTGAATCTCAAATCGTCATTCTCTGCAAAAGCGCATCTCGAATTCCACTAGTCTTTAATCGACGTCATGCTCAGCAAATTGAGGTTCGCTACAGGGTCAAGAAAAGGATCTTACTCGACTAAATGTACCGAACGCTTTGCGCGTTCAACCAACGCAGCAGCCGAGTCCAGTTATTGCAGAAGACGAGTGCTAAAATTGTAATGGCACTGCTGCCCTTATGTTTCATTTTGTTTCACCTTCTAACAAACATCGACCAGCTCTGCTTGACAAGGTGAGCCTTAGCAGTGACCAAACGGCTGTACTGAGTTTGTTTCGCTCTCTGTGCGTTTTTCTTACCCAAAAGGATTGCAGGTGTCGCACGACCTGGTCAGGCAAGCATCGACGGCGACTGCGGCCAGCCCGCAGAGGAGGAGAATCATAACGATCTGAGGCACAGATAGATTTCGGTTAGCTTTATCATACCTGATTCGGAGGCAGCTCATCTCGATCTGACCTTGACCAAGCAAGAAACACACGTTCTACGCTAGTGGTGACCCCTTTCTCTGTCTGTTTGATGCTCTTCTCTATCATGAGAGTCTCGAGCTCCCCAGCGGAGGGTAAGTGCAGACAGCCCTAGTACAGATCGGCAATCCAAGGAGACAGTAGTATCTATTTGAATGCATCTCCAAGTTCTGGCTCAGTGTTCAGACTGTCGATGCAGAATGGAAGGACAACTGCGCCACTCTTCACAAAGTGCACTCAAATGCATGCTTTTTCGTCTCGACCCTTCAAAGGCTGCAACGTGAATTTCAGACTTTCCGGAAAAGTCTAGGAGAAGAAAACCAGGAGACAAGACAGCCCTTTCATTTCAGCCCTTCCCTTTCAGGGAAGCTGCTAACAACTTTGAACGATTAGCCAGACTTCAAACTTGCAAACAAAGGGTGTGGACACACAAATTCATCACAGATCAGTATCGACCCGCACGTCAAGCTTACCTTCTGAGAGGAAGCCATTGTTGCTTTCGGCAGAGGCTCTGGCGTGCTTGCTTCAGCGGGATATGCAGTGTTGGATTGAAGAGGCGGTAAGGGAGATCTTGTAGACGAGAGGAAGCTGCTGGAAGATGGAACCTTCTTCGTTTGGAAAGCAGCCGGCCTTGGACGCCCTTATAAAGCCTGGTGAGAGCACCTCGGGGTCTCTTGCTCTCACAATATCATAGGCAATCCATCGACAGGACTGGAAGCCATCGAGCTCACGAAACTGCAGCATGTAAGCAGCAGTGAGGGAGAGCATTGTCGGGGCCACCTGGAGGAGTGTCCCAACCTCTTTCAATCATTGAAGACAAGCGTTAGCGACAGCTCTTTTGCTTCCAGCACGAAGGTTGTGTAGTCTATTAAAACAAGAATGGAAGTTCTTTAGTCAAGATCAATCATCAATCGGCCATCCCGATCCCTCCTTTTGAAGTTGAAAGCTTATAGTCGCGCCTCCTTTTAGTGCTTACTGCAACCAACTGCTTGCAATGTAGCCGCTTAAAGCAGCTTGCTTGGTTCAAGCCTATTCACCAATAGCATCCTGCGAACTGAGCCCTCTTAAAAAGGGAGAGTCACGAATCCATTCCCAACGGTAAACAAGCTATTGTTTGCGTGAATTGGATAGAAATTGTTGTGATCCATATGAGTATGCTATGCATAATCAGCTCAAGCCAGGTCGTTCACCAATTGTGAGAAGAGAAAAGCTTAGGCATTGAAAGGAAAGGGCAAACACCAATCCATTCAAATGGAATGTCTTTTATGCACAGTAGGTAGGATGACGAGGTACTGATGTTCCCGAGACTTTCTCTGGTTCTCGTGACACCTCCCTCTTCAGCAGTCCAGGAGCGCTCCAAAAACATCACGCTAGCCTCTCTGAGCTGACAACATGTACCTGCCAGAAGATGCAGAATTCCCAGCTACGATGATCCACGCTGAAGCGACCACAATGCCATTTCTCAAACACCGGCTCCTTCTCGAAGCAAGACGTTTCCGCAATTCTTGACTCAATAATGGGGACTCTGCCTGAAGAGTAGTCTGCTTCCAAACCTGGCGCAGTGCTTCACCTTTTGAGGCATTATAAACAATTCGAAATCGGGGATTCGCAAACGTGCTCAACGAGGTTACTGCAATTGGAACTTGTGCTTATGTACAACTTGTTTGCCTTTCATTCCTTCTCGGGACGTTGGAATGCACGTAATACGGGCATACTGCAAAATCGTCGCGATGTTATTCAAAAGGTCAGCGCTTGCCGCGCTGCACTGCGGCGGGCGCGCGGAACGGCCCGGACCGGGCCGCCGGGCGGGGTTTAAGAGAACGAGCCCGTAATTTACCAAACCCTGAAAAGTTGTGATATGTTGGTTTCATTGGACAAGAGTGTTGAAACTAGATGTGGACATCACAATCAGATGTCGTTATCTCGGAATGGTCCGTATGTGTAATGCATATGACACCGCCCCCCATCATGCAGGCCGGTTGGCGACACGAAGTGTCCTCCGCCCAATCCAGGACGGAGGATATAAGCACGTGGTTTGCAAGACGGTCATCTTATCATGGACTGGGCAGGTACTAGCTTGAAAGAAACTCCGAGCTTTCCTGGAATCCAGATGCCCTGCGCTTTTCTCTGGCGTACCTACTATGATACCTAGGTCGAGTACTGAATTTTGTAATACTTAATAATACCTACTCAAATATACGTGAGGTATGTACCTACGGCGCCTCTAGTAGTGCCACTGCTCCGGCTTGGAGGACGTCTGGGCAATCACCAGTGAAAGTGACCTTCCTGCCTAGGTATTTTGTAGCTGGTAGCTGGTACCCTGCTATCAAGTCTCAGCTTGCTTATATAAGTCGTCTTGCCGTGGGACAAGAAATTGCTGACAGTATACGTACCGGTATTTGACAAAAGCCAACAAAACGTCTACCCATGTACGTCTTTAGTTTCGGGTGCAGTGCCTGAAAACAACCTTGGCTCAGGGCTCTTGACGCGTAATCATTTGGCGCAGAGATATTTCCGGTGTACATGTCGATGCTCACTCAACATACCGTTATGGTAGGTAGGTAGGTACGCTTTTCTATGTGAACAGCTGGTACTAGGCAACTCACCAGATTCGAGGCTCAAAGGTACGATTACTTCCAGAAGCCTCTTGCAGCCGACACCTATACCGTAAATGTGCTGCACCTGACCTGCAGCTCCTCAGTTGTGAGCCGTGACCCTTCCCCTCGAAATTGGCAGAAGTACTTGAGAACAGGAGCATTTCAAACAGATGCCCATTCCACTTTCAGGAAGCTCAGCAGCCCCCTAATTTGCTCGTTGTAGTCTCCGCCCGTTGCAAGCATGGCCAAGCTGCTCCTTGCGCTCGTTCTCCTCTCGGCGCTGTGCGGTCTGCAAACCGCCCACGCTGCGGGGCGCGGCCTTCTTCAGGCAGCTCCCAATGGTACCATCACCTCCTTTGTGCCAGTTCGTTCGACCGTCCAGGGCTACCTGCTGGTGACGGACGGGGTAACCAACGGCCAGGTGAGTATTTGGACGTCCGCTGGCAAGACTCCCTGATTTGTTTGGGCCGAATTTGGAGTTGTACAAAGTGTGATGAGCCCACAGAAAGTGCTTCCTAAGGTACGCAAGGTCAAACAATGGACCGTGAAGGAAGGCGTTCAGGATTCTTCAGCAATGACTGAGACTGAGAAGGCCACACTGGCATTGCTTGCAATTGAGGGTTGAGAAAGGTGATGAGGTAGATAATATATGTCCGTTTATGAGCAGAGTTGTGATTGCTTTTGTAATGTGAAAGTTCAGTAAAAGGCACTGTAGCTAGGCACTCTGTGGAAAATGGACAGTCGAAAAGAAGAGCTTCACTGAAGTCCTGGCAATGGGAAGCAAAGTTTCTTGAACCGAATCCCTTTGAAGGATTGTTACTGCTCTGGGGCTTCGTGCTGCGGCTCGCGCAACCACTTTCAGCAACTGAGCTTTTCCATTCTTGCTGCTCGGAATGCTAGTCAGTACCTTTGCAGCCAACTTAAGCCTGCCCTACATTGCCTTTGTCACAGGTTACGGTCATTGACCTGAGGACCGGCGCCATTAACGAGACCCTCCAGCTGGCCAACTCCTCTGTGTCGGTCTATGCCAGCTCCATGGGCCGTTATGCTTACATCCTCCAGCGCACGGCCAACGTGACGACCGTATATGACAGCCAGATGTATATTGGTGATTGCCCCTGACGTCAGCATCGGTCCAGTCCCCTTTGCACTGAATGATGCCACCATACCGTTCTGCCAAGGGATCTCGCCCCAAGCTGCTGCCAATGAGTACTCCCAAGTTCCTTTCACTTTCACAAATCGAAACTTTGTGTCACCAGCCAAGTACACCGTTCTTTCTTGAGAGAACCTCTGAATCCCTTTCTGGATCCTTCGTACTGGGTCCAAACAGGCGATGGGTAGTGTACGTCTCTCGGCCGCCGCTCTTCTCAGAGAGTGTTCTGTGCTTCAGCTCAGGAGTTTTCGGGGCGAACACAGTAATCCTGTCTGACGGAAACAAATAGAAAGCCCACAAGAGAGTTACGGAAACGAATGAAAGCTCACGAAAGCCCTCAAAGCTGGTTGGGAATCGCCGCTGAAATGCCTTTTGGGGCCTTCTTGACTAACTCACCCCAATGCTTCTGGCAGAGTTCCATGAGGACCACTGGCACTTGGAACAAGATGCGGCTCCAGGGCTCACGACCCGCACTATCCCCGGGGCAGCCCCGACTCACTTTGTCCAGCGGGCGCGGAATGCCGCCATCTTCCATGACCAATGTAAGCAACTTCGGGTTTTAGTGTCTTTTTGAAAGTTCCGTCAATTCTGATTCTCATTGCCCTTTTTCAGAAATGCTCATCTATCAACTGTTGGCCTTTTCAAACTCTATCTTGATCCAAAACACGGAATTGCACTCCTGTTTCCGGCTCTTGATGCCCCTCCCAAAGCAAGTGTCTCGGTCTATCTAGGTCAAGGGGCCCTCTTCTTTCAATCTATCTCTCCACCTCAATACGCCTAAGTCGTCCCGTAAACTTAGGCGTATTGAACCAGATTCAAGTCTCTGGAGATGTTGGATGGAATCAGTGACTGGCCGGCAGGTCAAAGTGCTTCATGCTTATCCTGGGCTCCACGATGAATGTACACCCAAGTCTGCTGTCGAACATCAAAGCACGCGCACTGCCAAACCGCTTTCGAATTCCCAGTACTGGCAACCGGCAAAGTGAGCACTTAGCTAACCGATTGCCCCCACATGCTTGCACTCGGTGAAAAGAGCCTTCTTATGAATGTTTTGCGCTAACCGGTTTCCACCCCCCGTGCTTGCAGCCGGCGAAGTGACCCTGCTCAACGAGGTGCTCTTCGAGAACGCGACCTATACGACCAGATCCTTCAAGGTGGATCCGCACCACGGTGCGGCGGTGCCCCTGAGGGGCAACTTTTATGTCGTTACGCACGCGAACCAGACCGCCGTTGCTGCCGGGAGATCGTCTCTGCCCAGCGGAGTGCTGGCAAGTTTTCTGAAGCCCTTCAAAAGCAACCTCAAACCCTGGATACAGTAGACCTTTTCTTGTAACCTTAGCACTGCTTTCCTCAAGAAATCTGCTGGAGATCAATATCGTTACGCACGCGAGCCAGACCGCCGTTGCCGCCGGGAGTTCGTCTCTGCCTAGCGGAGTGCTGGCGAGTTGATTGAAGCTCTTGAAAAAAATGAACTCTGAACCCCGGAACAGTAGGCTTTGTCTTGTAACCTTAGCACTGCGGTTTTAAAGACGGCTGCCGGAGAGAGAGCCACCGTTCTGCGGTTGGTATGATCCTGCAGCAACAGGCTTACTGTACGAGTGGCGATAGGCTTTAAAACCGGAGAAAAAGAGTCCTGCGGTCTCCGGATGTTTAGAATGGTCGGTTGAAAAAGCTGTTGCATGATCGACCCGGAAGCAAACAGGAAGACGCCCTACATGAGGCTTTTCTCGTAGCCTTTCAAAAAGGCCGCAACACTCCCAAATCTCTTCGTGTGAAGGAGAGTGCTTGCAACCACGTGGTCCGTTCCACAGGCATCTCTCCAACTTTCTGTCATCTGACTCGCATTGGATTCCGCCGGATGTGCAGGTCCACTTCGAGAACGGTTCCCTCGCGTATGACGGCGCCAGCACGGCATGCCCCGGTCTCCACGGGAGTGCGACCAACGGTTACCACGCACTCTTCGGCTGCCGGGACGGCATTCTGGTCGTGACCTACACAGGTGAGTTTCTGCGGTCTTAACGAAGGAAGGAACTAACGGTGGAAGATCTGCTCAGACACGGCGTCGGGACAAAGTCACGCCTTTGGCGACCAGAAGGCCCTTGCAGTACTACTGATTGTTCGGGTGACGTCTGATCGAAGTTGGCAGCTATCGAGCTTTCGGAAAGCTTCGTTGTATGTAGAAGTAGTGCTTTTTCAAGTCGCCATTTATCTGCCCGTCCTGATCTGTAATATTCCTGCTTTTCGAAATCTCTCAATTTGCACCGAAACGCTTCAGATAACAAACCGGGGTGGCTTCCAAGACTCAAATCTCACAAAACCCAGAGTATCACAGTCCCTTCTAGATGGTTAGGCACTAACCCTTCTCAAACTCTTCCTGTGTTCCTGCAGCTCCCGCTAACCTGACCCACACCAAGATCCCGTACCCTGTTGCGGGCGTGTACACTGGCAGCCTGTACGGACACGCAATGTACAAGACGTTCTTCGGCTCGACAAGCGCCGGCGAGGACTCCGTGGGCATCCACGCGTTCGACCCCGTGAAGCTGACCGCCACTCTAGTTATCAATGCGACCGCCGATGGTGACATCATCTCGACTGGTGGGTTCCCTTACGCCGGATCTGAAGTGTATGGTTCGTCCTTTGAGAAAGGGCATCAACGTCAGGAAGGAACTGCTTTGTCCATTTGACTGTGGCAACTTGGACTCGCCTCCGTTACCTACACTCTGGTTTGGAGCCAAGACGCAATCGCGAATCTCCCTTCCGTTCCGAATGGTCCACGTGTCTTAGCCTGAAGTCGAGATTGTCAGATGGCTGGTGGTCTAACGAACTTGTAACCCTGCACACTTGAACCAGTCGGAGGCAAAGCCGAGGTCCGTTGCGAGATCGAACACCGTAGGCTCAATGGCAGACCCACAATGCCGTTCCTACTTGTGCTTCCTTGACCGTTTTTACAAAGTGCCGGCCGGTTGATCTCGTTTGAGAAAGTTGAATCAAGCAGACTCTGAAGCTCTTCGGTTCTCTCCATTCTCTCCACTGCAGCCTACGATCCGGCCGGCGCGTTCTTCGCCGTTCTTTCCGCGGGCAACGACGGCACTCTGACCCTGCTCAACCCCCAGACGGGCGCCGTCCTCCGCCGCGCGACCGGGGTTTTGGGCGCGCCCGCGCCGGAGGCCGAGGGCGACGATCACTCCGCTGTTCTGCCCGTCATTCAGGCTGGTCTCGGAAGGGTAAGCAACATGCCAGAACGTTCTCACCCATTCGTATGTGAGGGGGGACGTTTCTAGCAAGTAGCAAGACCCATCTCGGCGCATCCTGCACAGTGGGGTTTCTCTTTCGCCAGGCATAACAGCATAAGAAAGCTTCTTCTTTTGCCCGTCATCCAGGCTGGTCTCGGAAGGGTAAGCAACAGGGCCAAAACGTTCTCATCTTCTGTATATTTAGGGGGGCATTTCTAACCGACAGTAAAGACCCGTTCAACAGTTTCCTCCCTTCAAATATCGAGTGGCACGTTTTCTTTCATCCGTTAGCAAGACCCATCTCGGCGCATCCTCCGTTTGGTGTGTCTCCTTCGCCCAACATGAGAAAGCTTCCTTCATGTGTTTCTCTTCGTTCGACGCTTCTTCTCTTTTGTCTCCATTGTTATATTCTAGAGGGCAATTAACTCAACCGCGTTCCCCTTTCCTCGCTCTGTCTAAGCAAGCTTCAGCCATGGTCCCCCATCCGTTCAGCTTTCGGGAACTACAATCTTCTGGTCGACTGTATCTAGGGTCTCCCTCCTGATGGCACAGCGTCCTTTGAATCAACGAGCAGCGCTGAAAACATCGTCTCATTTTGGTACAGATCTACATTTCCAACCCTGAGGCGGGCGTCGTGAACGAGCATCACGCGGACAACTTCGAACTTCTCCGCGCGTTCAACCTGGGCGGACACCCATACCGTATGGCAATTCTTGGACCCACTCAGTACTGGGACTACCTGTACCAGCACTAGCTGACACGTGGCAGCAATCGGCCCATCGAACTGGGCATAAGCTATACAAGTCGCTACCTTATATTTCGTCGGAAGAAGTTTGCAAACAGAGCTTGAACATAATGAAGTTAACAGCGCAGAAGTATTGCTGCTGTTGGCTGTTTCGGCGCAAGGTTCGTGAACGATTATTTGATTACGTAGGCTGATAAATTGGAGCAATTTCAGGCGGCCTGAAATCCGCTCTGAATAAGGTTTGTTACGAGTGTTTTGAATCGTAAAGTCCAATAGGCAGGGAAGAACCGTACGGGCGCCAGATGCCCATATTTCTTCTCGCAGTGTCGATCTAAAATCAAGAGAGTGTTGGTAAAGCTAGAGATTGTGAGTGTGATCGTTGTTCGTTTGCTTCGGTTCCACGTTTGGAGGCATCTTTTGACGGCCTGCTTGACACATGATTGCCCCGTCTAGAATGGTCCTCGGTTGCATAGATCATTCGTCACTGAAAGACGGGTGAAAAAGACAATGACCAACAATGTAACAGTGCTTGTGGAAGAACCCATGTAATTGTCTGACATGTAAGTTCGAACAACTGGAGAATATACCACATTTACTTGCATCGAAGAATCGAGGCCCACTGCCATGCTCCTGCTTTTGACAGCGACCTGATCTTACGAAATTGTTTGATGGCCGGCTCCGGCAACGTTCTACGCACGGTATTTGCCCAGCGTCGAAATTGTGGAACTCCGCACTCAAATGAACATAGACGCGGTCGTAGTACAGGACGCAACAGAAATAAGAAGTCTGTCAGCGATGGTCATTAGAAGTTCGACAACCAGCTTGCATGGATCGCTGTTTCAACAGTACCCAGTAGCTCTAGTCTTATTGATTTGCAAATGACAAAGGTGTAGTGTAGGAAAGAAATGACGGCAGTGAATCAGTGAACGCACCTAAATCTGCCAGTCCTTGGATTTCTGTTGTGATGGCCAATCTGAAGCTGAAGCTCCCCGAACGCAAAGCCCTCTGTTCATGATCCATGTACAGTTGTGACGTGCAAATCTCAGATCCGATCAGCCCTTGTATCCCAGTATCCTCATACGAACGTATAAGAAGTCTGGTCCACACATCCTGCATAATGCATGAATGTGGGGTGTACCCATTACGCCGATACAAGTTGCAAGAGGCGCGTAATCGTTGAGAAATGCGAGATCGAAAAGAAGTTAGCGAGTTGGCGATCAAGGATTTCAGAGTGGGCGCAGGGGGACCAAACCCCACTGAAACAGAGCGAACCATGATCCGCACCGTCAGATGAGAAGATTTCGAATCTGGACGGTCGATATTGCATAGATTGGATGTCCCGAGCCAGATGCGGTCCTCGGTTGGTCTGAGGGGAGGGTTAAGACGAATGTTGGAGGTGGGTTGATAACTTTTTGGCTGGTAAACCCACCAAAACCTGCTCCCAATTCCTCCTAAACGGCGCGTTGCCCGGACCCCAAACTCTGGGTTTTGAAAGGTGACCCTGCGTAGGTTCAATCCCAACAATTTTCAGTTCCGGGCAATTAGCCGTTTAGCTGCTGGCACATGGTTCATGTTGCTAACTTTCTTACCTGGGGTGTTTGGTCCCCCTGAGTGGGCGTCGGAATTATTATGACGGACGGACTCGCTCTTTGATCAATCAAAATCGGCAGTCAGGCCGACTTGAATCGCGACGATCTGAGCCGTCCGATTGCCATCGCAAGCGCACTCGCTACGCCCACGTCATTATTGATGGCTACCGGTTGATTGCATGATTGGTCATTGACGAACGGACGGCTCGGGGCAACGTTACCGAGTCACATTTAGTATGTGGGCTGCGCCGGGGACGCGCACACGTTGGTCCCGGTGGCACCTTTTGGCCACCCGGGGGCTGGCAGAATCCAGCGGCATCACTTGCAAGTTGCAACCGCGAAATATCTTAGCTCCGGCTCCGACTCCGAGTCTCGCCGGACCCTCTGTCTTCTGCCTTCACTCCGACGGCGACAGGTCGAACGTCGGCGCCAGTGCTTTGAGGCCCGATTGGAAGGAGGGGGCGTCTCTCTATCTACGGTATGGTCGGTCGCTTCTTTTCAAGAGCAGAGCGGAGGCAAGCGTGATCGTCTCTGAGCATTCACCTGTTCTTTCACGAAGCGGAAGTCTGCTGCATGCAGTTGGAACCTCCCCAAACACTAGTGGACATTGCTTACAAATGCCAAACTAGATCAGCAGCACCAAACTGTGAAGGGCCTCTCAGAGTCAGAGGAACCCTTTAGTGCGACCATTCTGACTTAGATCAGCTCAAGCATGGATCAGCTGGCAGCAAGAGTGGTCAGGTGTCAGTGCCCCCTGCTCAGCGGCGCTGCCTTCGCCACTGACACCACCAGTCCTTCCTTACAGAGAAGATCTCTGCATTGCTCTCCTCTTGCACACTCGTCAACAAATCTCAAACCTACATGCAAGCTGCAATCATCATTGTGGGGTCACCACATTGGGGTCCAGAGCACACCAGCATTGAAAATGGCGAATGGCCGGTCAGATTGGAGTGCGCCGGCAATCCAGGGAGCAGCTTTTAGAGCGGAGCCAACCAGACCCCAATCAAACAGGCGGACGGACGAATCAAACCCAGCAGTCTTTGAGGGACAGATCAGTGGTCGTTCTTCCAGCAGCAAAATGAGGGGCGTAATCAAGAACGGGCGCGTGCTCAAAGGGGCACCTGTTCCTTCTGCCAGCACAAGTGTGTCTGCGGTGGCTGTTCACACCACCAGCGCTAGCAGCAGTCTTCTTGATGAAAATACGCTCAGTCCCGCTGGGGTGCCTACTCAAACCGCCAGGAAAACCGCAGCCCCAGGGGCTGTTCACACCACCACCCGTAAGAGCAGCTTCCAGGGCGGGAACGTGCCCTCCTGGGCAGACTCAAGGGAACCAACTTCAACACTGGGGATCCCCTCAAGAACAACGTTTAATTCTTGGAAACCGCCCACATCGCTTGGAGGTCTCTGGGAGATGCTTAATCTTGAAGGGGCCGGAGGACTGTCTGCGATGCCACAGCGGGCGGCGCAGACGGCATACACGGCGGCCCGCATGGCGTTCTTCTTTGCACAGGTGGGCAGGGTTTAGAAACATGGGTCTCGGCTAGACATATGGGGTTTGATTCTGGAAGCAAATCAATGGTGATAGTGTAAAGGGCCACTTGAAAACGGAAATTTCTGGACTGTGGTCAAGAGCTTATCAGGCTGTTCAATTGCTTCTTGATATTACGGAGGCTGGCATGGCCAGGCGGATGGAATGCATGTGCACATCCTCATCTGCTTGATCCTCAAGCATTTGACTGGGTTTTCCATTGGCTGTGTTGTCGTGTGGCCCCAAGATCTACAAAAGGTTGGTCTAAAGGCATAGTGTGCCAGCGTGACTTGAAAGATTGCTGCCAACTTTACTCGATCGTTCAGATGTCCCTTATTATCTTTGCATTGTCAGTCCCATCGGTGAACGACGTCAGTCCAAGTGCCATTAATCGATTATAACTTTGCTCCTTTCATTGGTTTGTGTTACTGTTATCAGGCAGGAGATTGCCATTAGAAGCTGTTGCGCTAACATCTGTAGATATATGAGGTTTCTCATTTCAAGACATTGTAGGCTAGCCCTTTATAGACTTTCAAAGAGTTGGGCTGAGGACCTTGAAGTTCAGTTTGAGATTTTTCAGCCCTTTACATGGTCACTGCAGAGGTACAAACTGCAAACAGTGGTCCACATTGTATACCTACTGCAATCTAGAACCAGTTTCAGAACAACAACATCAGTGCGGATTGTTCGTCATAAAGGCCAAACGTACGACTGTGTTCTTGCGTGTAGTCAGCACTGATTTCGAGAAGCCTGGGCGTGGAGATGAGCGCGCTTCCTAATGGTGGCCCGATGCCCCCCGACGTATCCAAAGAGGCTGCCGACAAGATGGTCCAAGATTCGCTGGGCGGTATTGTGGAACTGACGAAGATGGACATTGAAAATGTCAGGTGGGGCGCCGTCCAATCCGTGTTTGAAATCATGCCAATTCTAAACCAAAAGACCTTAAGATAAAACAATCTTCAAAAGAAAATAACATCTGAAGGATTTTAATAAGATTAGGTTCAATCCGTGCTGATCTTGAAACGGGAGCCGTTTGTTTCTGCCATGCACCGGTTGTTGGAGGTTTTGCAAGATGGGATGTGCAAGCGTGTCTCAGAGAAGCCGCGTTTGTCGTTCTCAGCCTTCCTTGATCTGCGAGTGACCGGCGAAGGCACCTGCCGCTGACAAGTTCCAAGAATAGCTTCCTGCATCAAGCGCGCAAGTGATCTTGGCGGCTCAAATCGAGCTCGGATTTTGGTTGCGTCTGCTTTTCAGCGCTTTTGGACATTTCTCTTCGCTGGGGCTGGTTGTGACCTCGACATTTGCCTGGTTAAGCTTGCTGACCCCCTATTGCTACGAGCCTTCGTTTACTTCACCCATTTTAGCCCCATTTTCATAACAGATGAGGCATCTACCGGGGTCCATACGAAATGGTATCGCGGCACCGCCACTGGCGCCCCCCCTTCTGGGCAGACCTTTTCACACACCGTCTCTGCCTCCGTTTTATTGCAGGCAGGTTATCTACCGGGCTCCGTACGATATGGACACGCAGCGCCGCCACCGAACCTCCCCTTGTGGGCGGACCTTTTCAAACCCCGTTTCTGCCTTCGTTCTATCGCAGGCGGGGTATTTTTCAGGCTCCATTCAATATGGACACGCAGCGCCGCGGCATTTCCACCGAAACTTCGCCTTGTGGGCGGACCTTGTCAAACCCCCTTTCTGTTTCCGTTTTATCGCAGGCGGGGCATCTACCGGGCTCCATACGATATGGACCCGCGGCACCACTAGTAAATCCCCGCCTTGTGGGCGGACTTGTCAAACTCCGTTTCTGCCTCCGTCCTGACGCAGACGGGGTATTTTTCAGGCTCCATACAATATGGACACACAGCGCCGCGGCAATTCCACCGAAACTTCGCCTTGTGGGCGGACCTTTTCAAACCCGTTTCTGTTTTTGTTTTATTGCAGACGGGGTATTTACCGGGCACCATACGATATGGACCCGCGGCACCGCCAGTGGAGCCCCGCCTTCTGGGCGGACCAGCACGAAAGGCTGTTGCGCGACCGACGGGAGGGCAAGGAGATTCGGCTCAAAAAGGGTAGGCCACCCCTCTAAAGAGAGTAACCTGCATTCGATTCTGGCCACGTTTTACCCGCCGTTTCTTCTGCATTTCATCTGGCGGGTCCGAAATAAATGGCGCTCGCAAATGCATGAAGCAAATCGTGGGGCGATATGCGTATCATGTGCGGTCCTGCGGTGAGAAGCAGCCGGACGGCAGGTTCCCGGGTCTTCGAAACTTGCGGGCCCGTTGCTCGCAAAATTAGGTTTAAGCTCGTCACTTCAAAGTTTCTTCCTTCCTGGCGGAGAGACCCTCGCTGCGTGTCCGTGTCTTGCTTTCAACACAACGCTAAGCTCGATTCATGATCCTCACCCACTTTGCTACGCCTCACCTACATCGCATCCGCAACGCTCGCAAGCTGCCACTGTGGCGCTGCTCGAACACGCGCGTGCTGCAGATTGTTTCAAACCGATTCCCGAAAACACGAGTAACGATGCAATCCAAGTCGCAAAAGGAACTGATGGCGCATTGCAGTCAGGCGGATGGGGAGCTCAAGCCGGGGTTCTTACCCTCACATCGCTATGCATGAGAAGACCCACCCATCTAGTGATTGGTTCGGATTCGAAATGGACACTCGCGTGCGCAGCGAGAGCGAGGCGAACGGGAGCTTCTATCCCTGGTTCTTACCCTTTGCTAAGCCTATAAAAGAATCTCGTTATGAGGAGTCGGACCTTCTTAAATCTGACACTGGGCGCCGCGAGTTTGCAGACAAGCGCGTGGTCAGCGCGAGCCAGACGGACGAGAAGTTCGCTGACTACTAATACGGTTCTATCCCTAGTTCTTACCCTCACGTCGCTACGCCTTGAAAACTCAAGTAACGCACTGAAACATTCCATAAAATTACACTGGGCGCCGTTTGTTTCGCCGTTCGTTTGACACGCGCGTGCGCAGCGCAAGCGAGAAGTCCGACTCGTTGCTACGCCTCGAATTGACCCAAATAAAACGCGTCAAAACATACGACAAGCTGACACCTGGCCCGCTTGTTTCGCAGACACACGGGTGCGCAGCGCGAGCGAAGCGGACGGCTATCCTGCGTACTACTTGCAGCACTTCCACTGGCAGCCGGGGGGCTGGCTGAGCGACGAGTCGGCGCAAATTTACGAGCATAGCACGGAGTCGCTCTTTTTTGGAGCCCAGGTATGGGTCACGTGGGCGCTCTTCTCTTTTGCTGTGTCATATTTGGACTTGGGGGTAATTTCTATGCGTTTTGTGCAACTTGGGCCGTTGCATCACCCAGATTCAACGGTGGTCCAGGTCGGCGCATATGAACGAGCACAACACCCAAGCGCTCTCTTACGAGGCCCAAGTATGATCCGGGGGCGCTCTTTTGCTAGTCATGTTTGGACTTGGGGGTAATTTTTATGCGTTTTGTGCAACTGGGCCCGTTGGATCACCCAGATCCAACGGTGGTCCAGGTTGGCGCATGTGTACGAGCATAACACGGAAGCGTTCATTGATGAAGCCCAGATACGAATCACATGGGCGCTCTTCTGCTGGTTCTGCCGGCGTTAGCCCGCCTTTACGGCTGCGCCTTTTGCACTGTTTGGACCGTTTGATCTTTCGTTTCCGGGCAGTGGACGGCGCTCGTTTGATGAACGGCCCGGGTCGAGCCTGACGGCTGCGGCCGCCGGGTTTGACGCTTTGCGGGAATGGTGAAAATTGTACTAAGACCCGTCACTCTCTACCAACTGCCTTTAGAGACCACTTCACGTGATAATGAGTCCGGACTCACGAATGCAGATTCGCGCGTGTGGCACTGCAAACCCCCGCGTACGAATGCCGAAGTATGCTCAATAGGACCTGCAAATTGAGGCATCGCCGGCCGTTCGCTTCTGCATTTCTAGCTGATCGCCAGCGCTCGCTTCTAAGTGTTTCTTCCTTCGAAGAGAGCGTAAACGTCTGCTTGACGTCAGCCTCAAACGCCAAGATCGCTGCAATTCAATGATAATGTCTCTGCCGGCAGTTCATAAAAATCTTGGCGCCATTCATTCCGCTCTGTCCATGCATGGCCTGCGCCCAATACTCTAAGCTCCGTTCCGTTCCGGTCCGCTGCAGGACCTGATGCAGCGGCAGGCTCTGATTCCGCTGCACTACTTCATGCGCGGCCGCGACCCCGCCCGGACGTCCGTGCTGGACGTCGCCTGCGCTAGGTTCACGCATAACCTACGCCCACTCCTCTGAGTTCCATTCCGTTCCGTTCCGCTGCAGGACATGATGCAGCGGCAGGCGCTGGTTCCGCTGCACTACTTCATGCGCGGCCGCGACCCCGCCCGGACGTCCGTTCTTGACGTCGCTTGCGGCACCGGACGCTTCCTCACCTTCCTGAAGGACAACTACCCCGCCGTGCGGACGTACGGAGTGAGTGAGACAAGTCCGACGATAGAAACTTTCTGGGTTCAACTCGCCCGTGAGGTTGGCATATCGTCGAAGTCTGAGAATTCTTGCACAAGAGCCCTGTCGTGCGGAGTAACGCAGTGAGGAAGATCTTGTGAAGATAGATAAAAAGTCAGGTGCGCCGGTAGTATCCTTGCAAATGCTGAGATGAACTGACAGCCGTCGGTTTGTCAGACAAGCTCCGCTAATGTCTTCTAGCGTAGAGACGTTTGGTTGAGATGCGAGAGCGCAGTGAATGTTCACCACGTAGAAACTTGCTTGCGATTCGCGTCAGGAGACGCTGCGTCTAGGGTGTGTTTGCCAATCGCTTGAATTCAAGAGTCAACGTGACCAGCGCAAACCGCTTTCTTGGCGCAGCTAACTCTCAGGACCCGTTTTCTGATCTGCGGAGAACCTCAGCAGCCGTGACAATTCAAAAGCTGGGAAGGGGTTAGAGACAGGCAATTAGAGCATCTTCCCATGCCTTTCATGCCCGCATTACTTCGCCATCTGAAGGCTAAGGGTTACGGCGTTTGCACCATATCAGGCTTTCCGACTTCGGCTCCATGAAGTATTTAACGAAAAAATCTGCAGACCTGTGTGAAATAGAGCACACTTCTCACTACGAGACAACTCGAGGCATCGCGATTCTTTGACTAGTGGCCTTAACCGGAAGTGATGGCTCCGCACCTCTTTTAAGTTCACTCCACCGAAGAGCCCAACAAGTCCTCCTCTCTTTTTGCAGGTTGATTTGAGCCCCAACTACTTGAAGACCGCTGAGGCGAACATGGGGTACTTCGAGAGTAAGCACTTTGGTTTTTAGCGTTTTAGGGTTTTAGTGCCGCAGCATTCTGTGACCACTCTTTCGAAGTCTGTTGCTTTGCGCACTCGTTAAAAAAAACCGCTATCTTCCATTTACAGTCTGCCACATCTTTTTGACATCGATCGAGCTCCCGCAGCATCCCTGACTCCGGCTGTCAAAGTGTGTTGCTTCGCATACCCGTTTCATGGCGGCTAGACCTTTTGTCCGCTCAAGCAAGAGAGATTGTGTGCGCCGCAATTAGCCGTAAACGCTTCTGATTTGCGTTTTACGCTTTTGCAAACGACCCGTCCTCTTGTGTCTGGGTGCAGAATTCGACATGAAAGTAAACGGCTCCCGGATATTTTCCCGAGCGCAGTTCATCCAGGCTAACGCGGAGCGGCTACCTTTCGAAGACAGCTCCTTGGACGTGGTAAAGAGTCTTCCGATTTGTCCAGGCTTTCGGATCTCATGCCTTGACTTACGTCTTCACCATTGAAACGAGGTTCGTGTACTGCGCGGACTGTCAAAAGGTCTCTTGTTGCTTTGAGAAATCAACATCCACTTGTTTGAAGTCGGCTGCCTGTGACCTCATCAGCTTCAGAGCAGCTGCGCAATCTCAATTGTGTGCTGTGTCCTTTCCCGTACTACCTGGCTTTTGGCTCTCAAGCGCCTTTTGGCTGTTGAAAAAGAGGACGGACGAACAATTGCTGCAGCTTTCCCCTATATAAGCGTATGCTACCTCGATAAAAAGTAGGCTCTGCTGTCGCAAGCCCTTGGTTTTGCATTATCCCAGGCCTTCATGTGTCGGCCCCCGTGCCTGATTGCAGGTCACGTGCGTCTACCTCTTCCACGAGCTCCCTCCCAACGCGCGTCAAGCGGTGGCCCAAGAGGTGTCGAGGGTTCTGAAGCCAGGCGGCATCTTTATTTGGGCGGACGCGACACAGGTAAAGACGTTCGTTCTCTTCCGGCCGCGTCTCTCACTTTCCTCATGAGTTCAGGTCCGAAAACTGCGCCTTCGCAAGGAGAGAGGCCCCTCGGGGGCCTGGACTACCCTAATTGCTGAAACGACTCGGTGACAGTGTGACCAAATGAACCGAACACGGAGTCCTGGAATCTGCCGTAGATTATCTGTTTGCTCTGGGCACACGATGTGTGGATTTTTGGCGAGGTTTTACTAGATTTAGCGATGGTTCTGATCCCTTGGCGGTTTGGAATTCCTGTCCTAATTGTCTGAACCAAAAGCAGGACCCAGGATTCATGATGGACGGTTTTGCACGAGGTTATGCTGAAATAAAAGCTAAGTTCATTGGCAATCACATCAGAATTCTGTATCTTCTTACCAGCTAGCCCATCATGGTTTCACTTGTTTCCTCCTGATTTGGGATGTATGCACCGAGCTCGCAGGCAGCTCCTCTGTGCCGCTGTCACTCTAACTCAAAAGTCCGCCCGCGACCCACATATTGACGACCGCCCCACAATTGCGGAAGGGCCGAGCATGTCAGCCCCAGTTAGACGTCCAGAAAGTTCCGGCCCTTTGTCGCCCAAAACATGTGAGCCCTCGGCCTGCAAATGGCGACCGCTTTGCAACGGACGCGTTCAGAGCTTCTGAAAATCCTCAGCTTCTTTGTCGACTTAATGACCGGTCGCCCCAAACACGTGGGCTCTCGACTTGCAGGACGGCGACCACGAAAAAGCCGGGCATTGTCAGCCCCTTTAAGCCGCCCAGAAGTTTCCAGCGGGGCGGAGAATCCAAATATTTTCCTGCCCCGGTCGCCGCAAACAGCTTGCAGGACGGCGACCGCCCCGATGTGGCGCAGGTGGCGGGCAACTTCAACCGCATCTAAAATCCTAGAATAATCCAGGAGGTTTTGAGTGCCCTTGGGTGCTTGGTCGCCACAAACGGCTGAGCTTGTGGCTAGCAGGACGGCGACCGCCCTGGAACAATTTAGGCAACGGCCGTGTTCAGCCGCATCTTAACCACTCACAGATATCAGAAATTTTAAGTGCCCTTGGGTGCTTGGTCGCCAAAAATGGCTGAGCTTTTGGCTCGCAGGACGGCGACCGCCCCGGGATGACGCAGGCGGCGGGCGTGTCCAGCCGCATCAATGAGAGCGTCAGACTCCATATACCGACCCGACTCGTGAATTGCCGACCAACTTGGATGCACAAAATAGCCCAACTGGGGAGTGCGCTCAACTTTAACCGAGCAATCGAAGCTCGGTCGAAACAACCTTTTCTCTTTTTCCGCACGCCGCGCAGTTCGGGCCCACACCGGTTTTCAAAACCAACGTCACGCGGGCAAACTCGCCGTGCGAACCAATTCAGCGTACGCGGCTGACGTCAGGGGGACCGGTCCCCCCGACGCCCTCTTCAATAGACCCACGGATCTCAACCAGTTTGACGCCCTCGTGTGTTTGGTCGCCGGAAACACGTGAGCTTTTGGCTTGCAGGACGGCGACCGCCCTGAGATAGCGCAGGCGGCGGGCATCTTCAACCGCATGTTCCACGAGCCGTACTTCTCGAGCTTCTTCCGCGCCGACTTCAAGCCCATGTTCGCGGCCTCGGGCCTGGGCCACGAGGCGACCATCCTGGCACATTTAACCAAGGCAAGGTCGCCCGCTCCGACTTGTTATCAGGAATTTGGAGGAAAAAAGGTTCTGGGGGGGACGAAACCTCAGAGCGAATCCGAGTCCCCTTCTTTGGAGCGCTGTTAAGATGGGAAGCTCAGCATGAGGTGAATCAGATGGCCAGAGGCATGCCTAAAGCCTGGCTTCTGGTTGAAAGGTCTTCGTCTTTGGGGTGGTCTTGAAAACGGTTTTTACCATGCCTTTGGACCAGTCACAGGTGATCCACGAGGCTTTATATTGGTCGTCTGAGGTCTCGAGTCGCAGGTCTTCCGACGCTACTCTCTCGAGGTTGCCTTGGTTGCATCAATGACGAGAAGTTTATGTTTATGTTTTTGGACCGCCCTGGGCAAGTTGACCTCACTGTAGCATCCATTTGCAAGACAGGCACTTCTTGCAGAAAACCGACCACTACTTCGCTGCATGGTTTATCAGCCACACGTTTGCCCCTTCGAAATCAAACAATGCCGATTGCCTGGATCCTTAGGCCACCCCACTTTGAGGGCTTGTTGGCCACTATCCTGTTCAGGACGGATCGCCAGGGACGTATTCCTGGCATTTTTGCTTGTCGTTCCGACCTCCGCAATTCATTGTCGTTTCGTTCCTTTTCGTTGCAGGTGATGTGTTTCCGGAAGGGCTTCTGAAGCGGTCGACGGCAAAGTGGTACAATCGACAACGTTGTCTTAGTGACCAAACACCACGCGCATACAAGCCGACTTCCAAAGCTTAGACGAGGCTTTCGACCGACTCTCGCCGCGCTTCACTTGCAAGACAAGCGTCATAGATACTTCGATTTTGACGTCAAATATTGGGTCAGATATTGGGTCAAGTATTGGATATAGTCGATGGGCTGAAGCTTAGGATTCCACTCAGACCCCCTACTCGCGCGCGGCCACATTCTTTGAAAGATCAACAACCGCAATAAGCATAGACAGTGTGTCGTGCAACCGCCGGACTTCGCATCTGTACAGAGGACTCAAAGTGTTGGCAAGCTTCAGTTTATACAAGCATAGCTTTCAGTATTAAGCGGAGCGCAGCAGTCGTTCATCGATTCCCTTAGACAAACTCTCCATGAGACAGTGAAACGCGATACGGTTATATGGTAACGTGATCCATTGATTGGATGGCGGCAATCAAAGACCGCCATCCAAGTTCGAATTAGACGCTCGTGCTGACGTACTCAAAGACTCAAATCAAGGATTACGTAACGGTCTGCAATGGTCGAGATGTGAGGAACTTTTATTCGACACTTCATTACATCATTTGCAATCACACCGTTAAGTATTTCGATCCACTGGGGGCCGGTCCTCTTAGACCGCGAGCTCTTCTGAGAGGCTGCCCTGATTGCTGCCCGTCGCTTTTGAACAAGGTAGGAATAATGCGGGAAGTGACTGGCCGGTTTATTTGTTACATGGGGACACTTGTAATTGCCGCCTAGAGCCTCGCCATTCTGCATCTGCATATGCATGATTGAAGCTAGAGGAAGATTTCAACCGATGCGTGAAGTTCTCCGAGTACGCCCATCAAATCCTTTTCCGCCGCAGACCTGAATTTTGCGGCCAATCAGTTGCAAGCATGAATACCTAGTAGCGAAAATCGGTGACTCGGTGAGGAATATGTGACGCCGGGCGATCATGCAGTTGTTATATGCCGGCAATTTCAAACTGGGGTTGAACTTATACAATGGTACCTGAGAAACGCTCTCCATCGTTACGAGTGCTTCTGGTCAATAGATGCGGGCTCGATCTATACGTTTGTGGTTTGCTGGCACGGTTGTGGTGAGCGTGTTCAAGCTTGAACAGATGGATTGAAGATTGAGTATATGCCCACATAGAGTCATGAGCGTGGGTTGCCGCCACTGGGTGGTTCAAGTATGCATCCTTATTTTATCTTTCCAGTTGCTGACTCACGTAGGTCCTGCCGGCACTCATTGCTGAAGGGGTCTTGTGTGAGCGCGTGACACACGGTGGTCCAATACGTTGAAAGAAAAACGGCTTGTGATACGACCGGGATTCCCTCGTGACAGAACATCCTGTCCATCTCATCCGCACTTCTGACAGGCTCGAGTGGTTTTGTGCCCTCTTCGAGAAGCTCACCGGTCGCCTATATTCTGAATGGCACGACGTCAATCGTTCTAAAGCGGAGGCTTTCTGGAAGGCCTTCGGATCCTACGCGCTGCGTTTCAATGTGAGTTTACCAGCAGCGTAGATTTTGTCTGGCAACACGTGGTCTCTGATTTACTGTCCGGCCGAAAGACAGGTCATTGGACCGCAACTGTTACGAAAACCGTTTCAACATCCGGCAGTCTACTTTAGCATCACATCATGTCTCTTCGTGGACTGAACTTGCACAAGCGGCTTCTGCACAGACGTCTCTTTTCAACCATTTTGACAACAGCAAAATCGAGTCTTCGTCCTCTACATGACCTGCACCCACGTGGCGTTTGACGGGATGTTGCTGTCGTGGCAGAACAGGTAATAGTAACCGGGGGGCGCGATTGTATTCCCGGGGGGTCCTCTCACTGCGACTGTGACCCCCCCGGTGGCGGAAGTATAGTTGAGCGTCGTGTAGTCGACTTCGAGCCAGACGAAGCGCTGGCCCATGTGCTGCGAGTGGGTTCCTGCGTTCCGGCGGAAGACGAGTAAGGACAGAGGCGGAACGAGAGCGGCAAACGGATGCAATAAACCAATCTGACAGTTAAGAGGACAATTAACAAAGACGGAAGATTTTCAAGGTGACATTCAAAGCGCTGACGATGGAAGTAAGGAGCAGGTATGCAAGAGCTTCTTCGGTGTATCTCTGCGAGCAGACAAACATCGGTGCGGACAACCCGACGTGGGCGATTCTTGACAGCCTTCACCAAATATTTATCTCGAAGGCCTTCGAAAGACGAACAAGCCGGTTTATTCCCCACGTGACGTGGGATGCAAGGTCCATGTGTTTGATTCTCAAACTCGCAAACGACACCGTGCAGCAAATCTCCCGCAGAAAGCACCTCAAACGGCCATATGATGAAAAAAGAAACGAACGAGAAGAACGAGGAATGGAGACCGGGGCAACTCACCGAACCCGGGGTTCATGATGGCCGCCCGGACCGCGGGCACCGTCAGGTTCGTCCGGATCGTCAACGTCAGCACGAACGTCAGCCCGTAGCCGATCGTCGCGGGCGCGGCTACGATGCGCGGCTGCGGGATCGCGCTCGAGACGTACGGCGGGCAAAACTTGTTGATGGTGAACTCGTTTGGGTAGCAGAGATCGTCGGCGCCAGTGCAATTCGCGCCGAAGCACTGGGGCCCACACCCCACGCAGCAGTCGTACGGGTTGCTGCCGCCCGTGAGAAGACAGCTGTACTTGCACACACGAAGATTTGGTTGCTAACCAGGCTGATCATCGGGCTGAGTTTCAGGGTACTGGGCAAACTTAACCGGGCCTTAACCTCGGTCCAGGGCTGGTTACCGCCCAAGTCTGGTAGTTGGATGTATAACGACTTTTTGAAAACAGTCCATGATCAGCCCAGAACCATCCATGAATAGAGGCCAGAAACTCCTGTGTTGGAGAATTCATCTGTCACAATCGCGAGCTAGGTAGGTTTTCCCGGTTTAGATGTCTGCTGCTTTAATGCAAACCGGCAAAGCGAGCGATTTGAAGGGTTCGTGGGCGAGCAATTTTTTCCAGTGCAGCGGACGACGTGGCTCATCCATCAAAGCCCTTTTGGGATGGATTCCCCTCTCTTCCGCGGCTTCGACTTTTCATTATTGAGCTATCGACGTTATCGAGGCCTGCACCCCAACTCCAGACGACCGGAACGATCACGAAAAAATTCTGAAACCTGCACGACCTTACAAAGGGAACCTTTGCATCCCCGTCTTGGATCGACTTTGAGCTTCACGCTTCTGGCAGTTGGCACTTTTCAAAATTCACCAACCTGTCAGGGCCCAGTATCGCGAGCCCGTGGTAGAGGCGCGCAAGCCTTTCCGGGGCGAGGTTTTTCCACCGGGCCGCGGGGGGAGCCCCCGGGTGGTACAGGGCGGGTGTGAAGACCGGATCGTGAATGTTGGAGGGGCCGGTGTTGAGCCCGGCGCGGCCTTTCCGGCCGCCGTTGATGATCATGATCTGCGGGAATGGTGATTTTACAGGCATTTTTGGGATAGTTGTGGGCAGATTCTGGGCTGGTGAGAAATTGTTCACATGTTCAAAAATTGTATCTGATCAGCGGTTACCGGCCTTGGAACAGGGTCAAAGCCGGTTGTTAGTCCAATAGTCTTGAGACTCAAGTCTGGTAGTCAGCCTGATCAGCAGCCAAAAGTCCCGGTAGATCTTGTGTGCTCGAAAGCTGCGTCGTGAAATCGTCATCAGACCTTTCAAGACACGTTTTGCTAGCAGTCGGTTCTGAGAATGTGGCGCCATCAGATACGTCATGGAGCTGTCTGTCTGAGAACAAACGGCTCGAAGAGGGGCTACGTCGAGGGGGGCGAGAGAAACGATTTGATGAGTTGTAGCGCTACTTCTAGATAAGACGTACAAGCCACTTCTCATCACGACTTTTCCCCTTTTCCAGTGGCTTCTAGTGTGAAAGGAGCAGAGTAAACCTGATCATGCTTCTCGATTGACATTGAAAAACACAAATCCTGGAGTCGATTTTTGACTCTCCACATCTCCAAGTAGCTTAAAAACGCGCGCGTCACTTACCTGTCCGTTTGCCGTGATGATCCCGTCCGGGACGATCCGTGCGTCCGGCATGGTTTCCATAACCCACTTTGGGTTAGGGTCCAGCGGACGGATACGTCCGCAGGAGTCGTCCGCGGGCAGGTCGCGGCCCGGGTTAGGGTTAAACTTGCTGCCCCCGCAAACCAGGATCTCGGCGGTGTAATTGTTCTCGAGCGACATAGGTAGAAGTACCGACGTGCCTGCAGACAACGGTTAGGGGCTAGGTTAGAATCTGAGGGTTAGCTGGAAATAGTAGCTCGAACGCCCACCAAGAAAGTTGTTGGTGGGCCAGAGCGAGCGGGTGTCAAGGCGAAGGTAAAGAAAAGACCCGACGAAAACGTCAAGGTAGGCCCAAGTTGACCCCAAGTTCCGATATCGATCTGCCTGACTTTCGACCGAGGGAACAAAGAAAGCTACGAGCACAGAATAGAAGACGCGCTTCGAAATGACTCAGATCGGGATGGAGTCCAAATTTGCGTCCGACATGACCCTCCTTCCTGATCACCTCGCAGACGGAAAAGTTGCGTAACAAAACAGGCCAACTAAAACCTCCAGTTGGCCTCCTGACTTTCAAACTCGGTCCTGACCCTCGAGCTCCTGGATTCTCCAAGACAACATCGAATCCTTGGAATCGAAATTTTTCACTTGGTATGACACTTTTCACATCTGTTCAAAGTGAAAACGTTTCAGAAGGTTTCTGCAACAGTTCCTTTCAGACTTTGAACGGATGGCGAGCGTTGCAAAACGGAATGGTGCAAGATCCCGGGAGGCGTCCGCACCAGTGTACGGATACGACCGCGTGATGTTTCCCGGCATGTCCGGCAGCAGGATCTCGTCCCCGGTGTCGAAGTTGTAAAGCACGGCGTAATAGTTTGCCATCACGAAAAAGTAGCCGTTGGGCAGTAGATGCAGGAACGGGTACAGCGGCGCGGGGTACGCGCGCACCAGGACGGGGAGCGTCCGCAGCTGCGCGTCCGCGGGGGCCGTCCGCGGAACGATTTCGTACGTCGGGGAGGACTGCAAGTTGGAGAAGGGGAATCGCTAGAAATTAGAAAAACCGTGGCTGTATTTGAAAAGAAAATGCGACGAGGCAAACCTGAGTGACTCGGGTCACTCCGTCAAGCGACCGCGCTGGAAAAGGGTTGAGAACAGGGCTCTGCGGGAAGAACCTGGTGGACTGGTGGATCGTCAAGGTAGAATTGGATAGAATTCCAGTTGTCCCTGTTTTTGCGTGAGTCGGAATCCGTTTCATGCTGATCCAAGAAACATTCATCCTCTCACGCGTCATAAAGTCTTTGGAATTCAGACTGTGGGCTGACATTTCATACCGTCAGCAAATTTCTGCACCCTTTTACACATAAAAAAGTTCACAGAGCCGCAGATCAGTACAAGACATCAAAACTTCGTTCCATACTTGCCTGATTAGTGAACTGCATAAGGACGAGATCGCCCACGGGAGCGCCGCCGATGACGACGATTCGGACGCCGTCCGGCATCAAGTGCGCGGACGGGTACCAGCGCTTGGCCAGCAGAGTGACACCTGGCAGAACACCAGCCAAGAATCACGAAAGAGACAGATAAGGACGAAGCAAGAGAAGATCGTACCATATCTGGGAGTCTTTGACGCGGGCTGCGTGAGATCCAAAGGTGTTTCCAAAGGCAAAAGCGTTGATGAGGAGCAGCAGGAAAGTGACGAGCGCATCTGGATTTTTCAGGCATGAGCCCGCATGGAGGAAAGGATTGAGAGAAGCTCCAGCGAAGTATGAAACCCTTACACGCGGGAAAACCTCCGTCTGAAAAGAAGCTGTGAAGCGAGAACGAGGCTTTCTCGCTCGAAGCAAATGCCTATGGAATCTGGGCGATTCTGGAAAGCACGTGCCAAGCGCCCAATGGCCTCGAGCGCATTGGCGTCGAGCAAGATCTCAATGCGCTCAGCTTCAAAACAGGTTCTGATTTCACCAGCCAGAATGACACGACGCTTGAATAGCTCGGCAGAGTCGCCAAGAGCTCTCAAACTGCAAGAATTGTGGCGGTAGGTTCCAGAGTACTGAGGAACAAACAAACGAACGGAAAGTGACTTATCATCAAGTTCACATTACTTTGTTGAGAACTGTCACGTGCTTCGCAACGCATTCAAGGAACTCACCTCAGGAAAGCGCTTGAACTAGCAACGGCCAGCGATCATCTTGCACGACAAATGGCAAGAGCTCTACGAACATAATTTAGATTCTAGGACGCACCTCTTCGATTCATGCTCATAAGCGCACAGACTCGATACCACTCCTGCAACACACGTCAATCATTCTGAAACCGTCCTAAACTCCTCACCCGGATAGTTGTAGAAGTCGCAGTCTCCGTTCCCTGGGCACGGGTCCAGGAACCGCACCCCGGAAAACGCGGCGGCGTTTCCGTCCGCCGTGTTGAATCCGCCGGTGTTGACCAGCGTTCCGTTGGGCCAGAACTGCCCCGCGGAGCAGAACGCGTTGTCTATGATGTCCAGCCCACGTGGGCCCGCGGTGACGTTAGCAAGATCCAGCATTGACGCGGACGCCTGGTTGCCGTTCCGGTCTTTGACGTAGCTGTCGTCACGGTCAGATCGGTCGATCAATACCAGCGTGTTAACGACCGGGTTAATCGCCCAGTGGATTCCGCTGACCCCGGAACTGATGGTGACAAGGGACCAGGTTCCGTTCGGATTCTTGCAGGAGTAGTCAGTGGAAACCCCCGAGCGGTCGGGATCGTATGCGCCGGCTGGATTGATGGACGGGGAAACGAGGGTGTCGGTGCTTGGAGGAATCGGAGAGATGGCGAGGGAAGAGAAAGGGAAGAAAGAAGCGATCAGGAGAAGGAGAGCTGTCTTGAGGGAGGGAGACGGAGATTGGGGATCGCGGAGCGCCATGCTTGTGGGCTCTTGTAGAATTGCGGTGATCAGAAGCTGGGCATCTTTGGATGAGAGTGACTTTGATGATCTCCTGCAAAGCCTTCCAGGAAGGAGCAAGCGGCTTCTGTCTTCATAAGAGTAGGCCGCGACCTGAGAATTGCACTCTGCGCCAAGCAGAACCTCACGCCCCCTTCACAGAACCGCGTCTGGCCTTGGCCGCTTGACAAGATAACTTGCTTTGCGTGTGTGCGATGGGCGATTTTTTGGCCACGGTTTTCTAGCCTCCTCACACACCAGAGAAGGCCGCCACCGAGACACAACATCGTTGCTGGGCCATCCAAGCATAATGGTGAGCACACTTCACAGCGGCACTCCACCGATCAAGAGCGTTATGTAGACAATGCGTGGAGTTTTATGGATTTGGTGGACGCAAATGACGACAAGCCAACAGCCTCTTGAAACCAGTATTCGTCCTTGAGGTTATCAAAAGGGACTTGTGAGTAGCTTTGTAAGTGGAGTAAATTTTCCGTTCGAGAGGCTACTTTAAACTCCCAGGCCGAGGCGTCGACTTCAAGCTAGGAAAACGCAGTCCAGATCCTACGGAGTTACTTGGAGATGGAGTTCTGTAGCCTGACTTCGTCCTTTCCAACTTCGTTAGAGGCGAGAGGGAGTCCCCCCAAGAAAAGTAGAACCAGCTTGGTGTTGTAAGTGACACAAAGGTAATCGAATAATGGTTAAAATCGACCAGCCGACGTCTTAAGAGGGCTCGATCGCAATGTATAACATAAGCTGGTAAAAATGTCACCGGCTCTGTGATGTTCGAGGCACTAAAGCGTCCCGGTTCTGCACCCCAAAGCTTGATGAAAAGGCGGGCGTTGCTTAGGTGGGCACTGTAAATGCGGAACTCCTGTGTTGGTTGCTTTGCTTTATAGAAGCGGATCGCGACACTTCACCTAGGATTGGTCGCACTCAGCGACTACATAACACATACGAGAAGTCTGGTTTAAAAGTTGAAGACCCAAGGTAGGTGGTGGGTCGACACTTTCGGAAGGTAGGGCTTGACACTTTTCCGTAACCCCTAGGAGAATGAAGTGGATATGCTCGTATTCATTGACCTGAAGAAACGTATCGAGATTTGTGGCGACTTGGCCCTCGAGAAAACGCAGCCTCGTTTTCTCCGAAGCTCCATCGTGGACGATCCACAACGAGCAGACCGCCGATCCTGCTGCTCTTACCGTCAGACGTACAGTATCTGATGTAAACGTCTACACTGTCGCGGGAAACTTCGTACTCAAATATAATCTGCAGCAAGACCAAGCGACTGAGGCGATGCACTGTTCGGATTAGCAGGAAAAACGGAAAGCATACGTGTCCGAAAAAAGTTTTCGTCGTTCTGCAACGACTGCTTCTTGACTCGAGCTTGCAGTATACAATGTCCAATCAAGGTCTGACGCCATGTGGCTCAAGACGTCAGCAGGTGGCGCAGGCTGGCATACATAGACAGTACTCACTCGCGACGTGGGGGCTCAATCTAGGGACATATGCTGTGTTGAGAACACACCTGACTCTAAGAAGAAGTGAACGTCAGTAGAACTTTCCTCATTGAGTTTCGCATTGAAGCAGGCACATGCCGAGCACGCAAAGCAGCATTTCGGCATATGTATCATCAGATGAGGGCACTGCTCGCTATCCAGTAAATCGAGACCCGGTTTTAAGTACAATTTTCGGTATGTGCAGGGTGGATCAAGTCCACCACCGATCTGAAAAAGGGGACTTTTCAGTCGATACTGTGCTTATGATTTGGTGTGCATTTATAGAGCGCACATGTTCTTAAAAAGGGGACTCTTCAGTCAGAAGCGTTCTGAAAGTCGGTTTAAGACCGTACTGAATCCGGGTCCCAACTTTTCAGCGCTCCTCAAAGACAAAGGACTGGACTCCCGTCTTCCACGTCAATCAAGAGCGAAGCCGCCTGTCAGAAGTAACAGGGAGCGACTCCTAGATCCTGTTTGTTATAGCAGACGGTGCCGCACGTTAGCTCGACTCTTCGTTCAATTCAAGGATTGAACGGGAGAGAAAACTTGACTCAGTCGACGTATGTGCCTTTGGCACTCTTGCGCAAATCTCTCTCAGACAACGTTGGTTCCTGATATACTGAGTATGAAATATCGAAACACATGTGAGATGGCATTTACAATTGAGAGGGCCCAGTCAATCCGTTCGTTTGGTTCAGCGCTTGCACATACAAAAGCACCGGAAGAAGAGAGCTATCGCTCACGGCGGGTTATACTGAAGGTGGAGAGGTGGGGTGATCAATCAACTCCACCGGCTCTTCGACTCGCATACTGCCTTATGAATCAAACAAGGCGGGTAGAACTGTAGAAAGGCTGCGATTCACCTTTGAATGTCGAATGAACTCGACATGCAGGCCCGGACGTGATGCTGTAAGCTCAGACGTAGTCATAACAAGCTCTTTGCAGCTAGTACTAGTACTAGGGGGCAATATATGGTTGCGGCTTCGTACGTTTTATCGTCTGGATTATCAACCTACTTATCAGTTTTTTCCCCCTTGAATCAACAGTACATCAAGTATCGCTTATAGTTGCCTGCGAGAAAGGAGAGGTGCCTGAGCGCGGCTAGCTTGGCGGGCAGCGCCGGGCCTGGAAGGCATATGGCGCGCGGCGCGGCGCCAGAAGGCTGCAAACTTGCGCCGGGCGCGGCGCCAGAAGGCCGGCGCGGCTGCAAACTTCAAGTTGCGCCGGGCCGGCCGCAGCGCGCTAGGGCTTCAAGCTTTGAGGCGACCCTGACCGTAAGATTGGCTCCAAATCGACAGCTGCTAACAGCTCAACTGGCGGCGCATCATCACTCGATGCCGTTGAAATTCAAAATTGATGGCGGGCAACGGCCAAAATATTTTGATTTAAAGTGACGTCACAGGAAGTAATACCGAAGATGTCAACATCTAAAAGTCAAAGCTCGGGGCAAGCGGTAGGAAATTGCATGGTCTGCTGCCTACAGCACAAGCATTCGTACCGGGCACAAGCTCAGCGCACACGCCAGCGGCATCAGCATGACAGAGGAACCGGTGACACAAGAATCTGTCACCTCGAATCGTATCCTCTTCCTGGCTCCATATGGTGCCACGTAGGATACAGGCAGATACGGTATCTAGGTACAGTAGGTAGCTTTCCCAGCAGCTAGGCTGAACTTCGAACTTTGAAGTCTGCCAACCATGCACAATCCAGCCTCCAGGACTCAGGAGAGGGGAGCTGAACAGTGAACGCGAAGTAGCTAGCTGATCAAGCCTGAAAGGTCGAACTTTGCTCAGATTGAACCTTCCTGAATCCTGAACAAGGTCTGATCAATCTCACCCGTTCTCCTTCCCCTCACATTCGCTACTAGGTACTCTCAAAGACCACATTGCCCGCTATCAGCTCCAGAAGAAACAAGTAGACATCCAATCAACCTAGATCTCTAGCCAGCACAATGGCTCGCGCCGGTGTGTTGATGCTGGTCTTGGCGGCGGTGGCTGTTGTCGCTTTCGCGTCCGATGCGGACCCGGTGGCTGACTTTGTACTCTCCGCAGCCAATGGCCCCAGTAAGATTGCTGCATTACTGAAAGCTCCCTGCTTCCCTGCCGCTAGAAGTTTCCCTTTTCTCCCTCTGTGTCCCCACTTCTCGGGAGGCCACTTGAACTTGGGCATGTCAATCATGGAATGTAGTGGCGTGCTCGTAATCGTGAAATGAGCTGGCGTGCTCTTGGTTCAGTCGCGTCCATTGCTTGCATTGTGAACTGTCCCAATGTAAAGTCCTGGTTTGTGAACATGGTTAATGCCAACGAAACAGTGTTTGGATTAAGGACCCCCACCAGCAAGAGTGGTACAGCTGTCAGGTCTTGTTCTTCAGTGTAGGAGACGAGAGATGGTTGCTCCCTTTTGATTGTCCTTAAAACACTGGGATGGCCCCTGAAGTGCATTATGCAACTGACTTTGGATTTGAGCTGCAAACTCATACCAAATGATCATGAGGCATTCGTACTTCAGCAGAACAAATGCTGTCTAAGCATAAATTGTTTGTGAGCAGTAGCAGTGAGCAGCGGATATGGAGAGCGTTTTCAGACCCCCACGCATGCATGCAATGCCAGGCTTTAAGGAGCTCTCCGTCTGACAAACCAATTGGCAATGCTGTCAGGCCCTCTCAGCTTAGCTTAGTCCTCTGAAGGCCTTCTCAGGCTATGAGTGTACTAGTGCCCTTATGATAGCCTAGTGGCTATCTGGACGTCCCCACCTTGCAAACCCCACCTTTAGCTACCCGCTAAACCAACTCAATCATACACACAGATTTGTTCTGCTTTGCGGGTATCATTGAGTATCAGACGTTGAAAAGAGATGGCTTCCAGATCTTACCAATCCTTCCAGTGTTGATTGACAGCAAAGCTTCTGAGAACGCAAATTGAGCACAAGAAGGGTCCTTCCAGCTTTTTCCAGCACTCATGAGGTTCTTCAGTTCGCACATGTCAAGTATCCACGTGAGTCCTCTGAAACATGGACTCTCTTTTGTGTTCCTACAGTCACTGGCGGCAACTTTGCCTTCCGTGGTCTGAACAACGTCAACGTGACATCCGGCCAGGGGAGCGGTGCCAAGTCTGCCAATGCGGCGAGTTTCCCGGCTCTCACGTAAGCCGCTCCTACAGTCCTTACCGGGAGAAAACAGTATTTGATTCTGGCGGCTGGACACAAGGCCGGCGCCACCTTTCCGTTCTCTTTGGCAACTCCGTGTACGGGAGGGGTCGCCCTCCAATCAGCTTTGCAATTGTTTTAAGTTGTGCAGGCTAATTGTAAAGCTGCTTGCCTTTCCTGTGCTCTGTAATGCAGATTTAAGCGCAGAAGCTCTCCTCTGTCGCAACCCGAAGAAGCAGCTCAGAGCGATGGTGCTCAAGTGATTACTTGCCTCTCGACCAGCGGTTTCTCTGGGTCCCATGCTTCTCCTGTTGCGCAATGACTCAGCTGTGGGATCTCTGCCGGGTTTCATCCTGGGATTGCATGCGCCAGAAAGACGTACGATGAAGTATCACAGAGAAAAGGACCGATACAGGACAATTGCAAAGTGCTGGACAATCAGCGACGGTTTTTAAATTGCTGCAGAGACCTCGCTTGAGTCTGAGTCTGACGTCCGAGATGGACTTCCATTTTTGCAGGTCCCAGGGTATCTCGTACACCTACATCAACTACGCACCTTGCGGCCAGAAGTGAGTTACAAGCCCTTTCTCCATCTTTAGTTTTCCGCATTCAATCCATGCAATTTTCTCAATCTGTATTCTCGAATCCTTCTTAAACCCACCCCAATCCTACTTTGTCATTCTGCCGGAGCTGACCCACGGCTCTTTGATGAGTCCCCACTGCTACTTCCGGATTGAGCCCACCTTCCGTCCCTCTTCTTGTCCATCTTTTCCACTTTTACTGCTTAATTCTGCTTTAAGCCACCTCTCTTCTGTGCTTCGGCCAACCTGAGTCAACGATTCCTCCTAGACCACTTCCTCTTTCCGCGCGTGTGATTTTCTGTCTCCAAGAGCGCTCAGTGTCATACCCATCTGAATCCATTTCTTGTCCCTTGTTTTCTTTTCTCCTAAGTCTTTCTTTGCTTCCCTTCTTGCGATCCTTCATCTGCTTCATCTTGAGCTATTTTTGCGCACCACTGTTTCTTCATTTTGCATGTAAGTGAATTGCGGTTTGCAGAGCCCGACAAAACTCATGAAATCTTTCACGTTATGGGGTTCAAAGTCATGTGTCTCTCCGATCCGTGCGCCGCTGTTGCTGCTCTGAAAAGCGTAACGACTTTGGCAACTACTTACGGTGATTGCCGTCAGCTCTCTGGCTGTGTCTGAAGCTTCTGCCAAAGCAGGCCTAAGCACACTGAGCGCGTTTTCATGGTGAGCAATAACGTGCAAGACACAAGTCTCATGGAAGAAAGCAGGGGAGCGCTTTGTCGAGCAGACTTTAATATTACGAACTTCTTTACCATACACATACTTATACTTACATACTTTTACTTATCTGACCTTTGCTCCCCTTATGGTGCAGCCCCATCCACACCCACCCCCGCGCCACGGAGCTCCTGTTCGTGATCGAGGGCCAGCTGTACGTCGGCTTCGTTGACACCAACAGTGAGTTTCACTCTGCAAGCTCAGCCTGGACTCGCTCCGGTGTCAATTGCCAGCCTTTCGGGATCTGTGGGTCAGTCGAAGCCACTCCCAAATCGAAAGCAGCGCTCTCAAAATAGAACTTTGGGCCGACCTTCGCAAGAAGCTTCACTGTGCGATCAGGATTAGCATAGACGATTGGCTGATCTCCTTCCATCCTCAATCCACAGCCTCGCCTTTACAAAATGCCTACTCCCCCTGTAGATTTCTAAAATTCGACCTTAGCCATAAACGAATCTCCGCTGAGCTGTGAAACGCCGCTTTTCCGTCTCGCCACCCAATCGACTCTTACAATACCCACTCAAAGTTGCGTCTCAATTGAGCAAGTGGATTCCGAGAGTGCAAATGCTCGCTGCCGTCACTCACCCTTCCTCCTGAGCCGCCGACGTTATCTTTCTTTGCCTGCAGACACCCTGTACTCGACCACTTTGAACGCGGGTGACGCGTTCGTCTTCCCCCGCGGTCTGATCCACTTCCAGCAGAACACCAACTCGAACAGCGGAGCCAGGGCGCTAGCTGCGCTTAACAGCCAGAACCCAGGAACCCAGGTTAGCAAACCAGGGTTTGCGATTTTGGGTTCTATTTTATGGGTTTGACAACGTTTGCGGGTTTTCATTCTCAGTTAGTCACCAGCCCGAGCAGCAAAGCCAGGGCGCTTCCGGCGCTCAACAACCAGAACTCGGGAACCCAGGTTATATATTCTGGGTTTTGATTACAATGGCTCTCGAAGACATTAAGGAATGTCTCGCGCCCAGCAAAGGACCGGCTCGGGCAGGTTAGCCAACGCGCTCGCAGCGTTCAACAGGCAGAGACCTGGAAACCCACCTCAAACTCCGGGTCAGACTTTTGGGTTTGTGCGCTTGTGGTGACCAAAAGTGTGGGATGTTGGTCTACTCTCTTCAGGCAGATCCTTGTCATGGCCACGTCGCCGTGGTTTTGAGGAGCCAGAACAGTCCGTCAGTGCGTGCTTTGATGCGTAGTGCAGTATATCCTCGTGTTACGCTCTTGCTGGGTTGGAAGGAATCAAATGGCAGGGATTGATGTTACAAAGCTCCAAGCAGGACGGCCAGTGTGGAAAGCGGCGGAGGGGTTCGTATGCCAGTCCCTCGGAGTCAGGGAAGGAATAAGGTTGACTAGCAGAAAGCCGTTGGTCCGTTCCGGTAGCTGTCTTGGGAAAGCAGCGCATTGGCGTCGAGCGCTTGCTGCAGAAGTTTCGAGCAGGAGAAGCACCTGAGAATGACTCCGAGAGTAATTAAAGTAGTTCCGGAGGAGTGGCCTCGTTCAAGCGCGTTGAAAGGATCCACTTCCCCCACTGCCATCAACGCCGATTCAGCCGGCTTTGTAACTCCCAGATCGCTGGCACTGTTCGCCGTTCAACTTTTGGAGCTGCGCAACCGTCCGATAAGAACCCAACATGTCCTACCCGGCCCACGCTCTCGTATTCCTCCTCGCAGAGGGTCGGCAGCGAGCTCTTCCCCTGATCTCCGCATCCTCACCAGCGTCTCCCGGGTCGTAATGCTAACACTTTTCTACGTTTTCGACGTCCTTCGACCGTCCGATGTCAAAAACCGTGCTAATCCTACGGCTCATCTTGCTTTGGGTCTTCGCAGAGGGTCGGCAGCACGCTGTTCCTGCCCAGCGGCATTCCCGGAACCATCACCCAGGTCGCTCGGTTAACGGTCTTCGAACGTCCGATGTTTAACACCGTGCCAATCCATC